CCTCCTCCCTCAGACCAGGAGTCCTGACCCCCAGCCCTCCTCCCTCAGACCAGGAATCTGGGGGGCCCCTGCCCCTCCTCCCTCAGACCAGGGCGTCCATCCAGGCCCCTCCTCCTCTGGCACCTGTTTCTGTCCAGTGCCCCTGAGGCGCTCAGCCGCGTGGGTCCGCAGCAAGCCCTGCCATGAGTGACCGAAACAGCCGGCGGAGGACAAGTGAGGAACCAGGGCCCCTGCCCCACCCCCGCACGCCCCTACCCTCTCCCCTCCTTGGGACTGCTGCGGTTGGCGGTGGGGGCTTGTCTGGGGCCTGGCCACGCGTGACCGTCGGCGGCCTCTTGTTTGCAGTGAAGAAGGACGATGAGACCCTCGAGGTCTCCATCCCCTTCGACCAGACGCCCCACCTAGACCCTCAGATCTTTTACAGTCTGAGCCCGTCTCGGGAGAACTTTGAGGGTGAGCCGCGCCGTGGGGTGGCCTGGAACCTGTTGGCCCCGCCCCCAGGGGGTGGTCCTAGGGCGTCATTGGCACGCCCCCTTTCCCATGCCTTAGAGGCCCCCGAGGCGGCTTCCCCAGCCCTGGCCCTGATGAATGGAGTCAAGGCTCAGCTGCACATGGCCCTGGAGAGGAACTCGTGGCTGCAGAAGCGCATTGAGGACCTGGAGGAGGAGAGGGACTTCCTGAGGTGCCAGCTGGACAAGTTCATCTCCTCCGCTCGACTGGATGCAGGTGTGGGGGGAGGCAGACCTGGAAGGCCAGCTGTCACCATCTTAGGGACAGGACCCTTTCCAACCCTCTTAGTCGGGCCCCACCCTTTGGCCCCCCCGACCTTGCCGCTAATCCCTGCCCATTTGGGGACAAGCCCTCTGCAGTCCAATGCCTCTGTCCGCCTGATGTCCAAGGTTTCTTACCTGCCCTTCACTGGGTTTCCTTCTGACCTGACCTTTTGGTTAGCAGCCCATGTTCAACGCACAACTTCACCAGAACACCGGGGTTGGGGTGTGGGGGGAGGTCTGGGTGGCGCTGTCCACTAAGCATTGGCTGCTAACTGCTAGGTTGGAGGTTCAAACCCCTAGCCACGCTATAAGACAAAAACGAGGCTGGCAGCACACAGAAAGGGTACAGTCTCAGTCTGGGAAACTCTAAGCAGGGTCGCTGTGGATCGGGAGGCACTCGGTGGTCGTGGACTTGGCTTTGGTGTCCTGGAATACAGCAGTCCCTTTGCCCAGCACCACCTGTAGCGGTGGGCGTGGTACTGCAGCTTCATCCTGGGCAGTCAGCCTCTGTCTTTCGCTGGTTCATGCAGCGGGTTCCTGGGCCTTATCGATGGGAACCCCAGCACCAAACCTCCTTGCCGGGACCTGCCCCACCTTTTATGGTCCCCCTGACTTCCAGGGACCCACCTAGGCCCCAGGGGCAGTGAGAGGATGGCAGCCCACCCCCTCCTACTGACCTGCCTCCTGTCCCGTCCATTCACATGCATCGCTCCTCTTATTCCCCCAGAGGACCACTGCCGTGTGAAGCCTGGGCCCCGCAGGGGTGAGGGGGACAGCAGGGGCGGGGCAGGGGCTGAGGCCTCAGACCCTGGGTCACCTGCCTCCTCGCTCACCGGAGGGTCTGAGGAAGGCAGCTCTGGGGAGAGGAAGAGGCAGAAGCAGAAGGGGAGTGCCGGCCGGAGGCGTTTCGGGAAGCCCAAAGCTCGGGAGAGGCAACGTGGTGAGTACTCACGTATGCCTGTCAGTGTGGATGTATCTGTATGAATGTATGTGTGCAGGTGTACAAGGGTGCATGTGTGAGAGTATGCGCAAGCATGGATATATATATGTATGTGTGTGTGTGCAGGTGTACATGGGTGCATGTGTGTGTGTGTATGTGAGCGTGGATATATGTATGAGTGTGTTTATGTGTTTTTGCAGGTGTGAGAGTATGAGTACACATGTGTGAGCATGTGTATGTGTGCAAGAGTGGATACACATACACCCGTGTGTATGCATGCAGGATGAGTGCTTGTGTGAGTGCCTATGTGCAGGTGTGTGTTTAGGTGTGGGTATATATGTATGAGATGTGTGTACAGGTGTGAATAAGTATGCATATGTACAGGTGTGTATGCACCTGTGAGTACACATGTCTGTGTGTGTATGGGTGTGAGTGTGAATATGTGTGCATTTGAGTGAATGTGTATATGAGTGTGTCCATGTGGGAGTATGACAGTATGTCTGAGGATATGTACGTAAGCATAAGTGTACATGAGCATGTGCACATGGCTATGTGTATGCGTGAATGCATGAGTATGTATGTGTATATGCATGAGTGTATGTGAACATTAGTGTCCACAAGTGTGTGTACACGTATACATCAGTGTGTGAGCGTGCCTCAGCTTCCCTGTGCGTGGGCAGGGATTCGCCGTGGACTTTTGAAGAGGTCATTCTTCTGACACCAGGGTCACCAGGTTTCCCCCTCTGGGAAAGCCGCCAGGGGGCAGGAGTGAGCTGTCCATTCAGGTCACCCCATCAGTATGTGACCACGGCCTGGGGACCCACGGGAATTCTAACGCATTTGCAATTCTTTCCCTCTCTCCTCATACCCTCCTCCCTCACCGTCCACTGGGCCACCTCTGCCCTGTCGCTGTTGTTGTCCCCATCTCTTGTCACCCTTGCTCTTGTCCTCCCTGCTTCCCATTTTGTTTGCCCCACGCTTCTGGTTTGGGGGTCCTCCCTTGGCTCCATTTCCGTGTGGGAACCCTGACTCCACCACACCTGCATCCCACTGTCCCCATGTGTCTGTCCCGCACGCCACCCTGCAGTGAAGGACGCAGATGGCGTCCTGTGCCGCTACAAGAAGATCCTGGGCACCTTCCAGAAGCTGAAGAGCATGTCACGGGCCTTCGAACACCACCGCGTGGACCGCAACACGGTCGCGCTGACCACGCCCATCGCCGAGCTGCTGATTGTGGCACCCGAGAAGCTGGCTGAGGTGGGCGAGTTCGACCCCTCCAAGGAGCGCCTGCTCGAGTACTCGCGCCGTTGCTTCCTGGCCCTGGACGAGGAGACCCTCAAGAAGGTGCAGGCGCTCAAGAAGAGCAAGCTGCTGCTGCCCATCACCTACCGCTTCAAGCGGTGATGCCCCGCCGGATGTGCTCGCTCCGCCCCTGACCCCGCCCCTCTCCTCTCCCAAGGTGGGGAGCCAAGTGCACCTGTGACACTGGCCCAGGCCCCTGGGAATGCGCATGCGTGATTGACCCTTCCCAGCCCCTTCGGGCGTGTATGTGCAAGGGGGGCCTTCCCGGGAGCACGTCTGCATGTGCGGGTGTTTTCGTGGGGTCCTCGGTAGGGGGGTCGTGAGCCTTTCCTTCCTTCCTGCTGACGCCCACCCCAGGACCCCTGTATATAGAGCTGCTCCGTCCCCCCCCTTGCCTTCCACGTTCCTAGCGTCCCTTCTTCCCCTGGGTTGTGAGTTCTGCGGGGCATCACTGAGGCTCGCAAGGGCTACTGCCCAGGCCCTTTCAGTACCCATTTCTAAACCCAACCAAACTCTTCCTCCTGGGCCGTCCTGCCCACCTTCCCGGGGAGCTGGCTGCGTGCTGCCCGCTCTCGCTGGGCTGGAGGGACAGTGCAGACCCCATGTCCACCCTCAGCCGCCAAGAGAAGCTGGCCTGGCCCGACCTCCCCGCTCCGGGAGCTTCTCAGCCTCGGGCTGCTGGATCCCGCGATCCCACGTGCAACAGAGAATTATGCAGAGAATTTAAATTAAAGAGATGAGAAAATTTGGAATAAACCAGGCCCCAGCCTCTTGCTCCGAGGGGACGTGGTCGGGAGGGGGTGGCTGTTGCCACGGAGATGGCGATGGGGGCTCAGGGGGTTTCAGGAGCAGGGCGGTCAGGCGGGAAACAGGGACGACAGGATGTAATTAGCCCCCTGCAGTCAGAGGTGGGTGGAGGAGAGGCAGCTGTGCTCCGAGGAACAGCGGGGGTAGAGCTCCGAAAAGAAACATCAGCACTGTCCTCTGAGTTATTTGGGATGGAAAGCGGTGGCAGGCGGGAATGAGTGACCCGCTAGCCTGGGGGACCAGGCAATTTTAGGGCAGATGCTTCCGCCGGCCGCCAGGGGGCGCCAGTGCCAAATCGTGCGTCTCCCCAAGGGCGCGCTCAGTCGCCTTCTGCGCCTGCGCGGACGGAGAGCAAGCCAACCCAAGCGGTTGCTGGGACTACCAGGAGAGAGTGGGCCTGCTTAACGTTCCGGTATTAGGCAATAGGAAAGGAAACTCGCGCATGCGTGCAGATATTCTGGCCACTGGGCCTCCGCCCCTCTGGGAAGAGAAACCACCTCAAACTGATCTCTACGCAGGCGCAGCAGTCTTCTCGCGTATCTCCCGCTTCCAAACTGCGCAGGCGCACTAAGCCGCGCTGGCAACCACCGCAGCGGTCGCGCGCACCCTTCATCCCGCTGGCTGGGTTTGTTTAGCGCAATCTTATTAAGCCTTCCACAGAACCGGCTCTTTTTTCCCTCTCTTCTCACTCAGAGAGCGAAGTGCCGGGACCCAGCTCCTTGTGTCCTTTTCCCTGACATATCGTCATCGTCTTCCCAATCCTTTTCTGTTCCTGAAGGCGGAAGAAGCCGAAGCGCAGACGGAAAAACCCGAAGCGACTGAGAGACTTTCCCGAAGCGGTGGCGGGAGGAGCCGAAGTTCCCCGGAAGGGGAGGAGTGAGCGAGTGGAATCTCCGGAAAGAGCCGAAGCTTGGAATTGCGCGGTGGTGGAGCGCCGGGAGCCTTTCGGAACGGTTAAGGTTGAAATCGTTGATTGCTTGCATAGGCTGGCAGGAAAGAGCAGAAGATACTCTGTGGACGAAGCCGAGTCTTGGGACGGTTTGACTTGTCGGAAGCAGCAGAACCCTTAGAAGGGACTCGGCGCGGAGGAACGCGAGGACCTACGGAAACATCCGAACGTTGAGGAGCCAATCTCCCGAAAGATTACGAGGACCTGGGAAGCCGACGCCGCCCTGCCTTCGGCTGTTTCCGGAAAAGCC